GTTCTGTACAATTCCGCCTAAAACTCCACTACAAAAAGATTAATACGCAAAACAAAAATAAATTACAAAATAAAATTTGACTAGAAAGGTGAAAGATATCGTTTTCAGATGACGATCTATTAACGAAAATACCTACTTAATCGGTTCACCGCATGGCAAAACGGCAACATCCGGCTCCTATTGTTCAGATTCTCGAAAACAGACTCTTAATCTTACATTTAACATCTGGTATTAATAAAATTCTTGAACTTCGCATAAAACACAGACTATACCAGATACACCAGGCAACCGGCAACAAGTGTTCTGTACAATTCTATATTAAACTTCAGTACAAAAAAAATTAATACTTCCCACGCTAAAAGACGGGATGGCAAATTTATTAAGCCAATAAACAACGCCCTATGCGTAAGTTTAATTAGGTAGCGGCGTTAAAGCTAAATAGCTAAAACTTTTCCAGCGGCCTAATAGTATGCAAGGAGTTTTGATCCGTAAATCACTCCTCGCCGCACCTAATCTAGAGGATGAATGCTGTGGAGATTCTCTTGACTAACGTCTGATGTTACTGACGGTTTTAAATAAATATATTTTTTCTTTTTATGGATCTGGCCTTGCCGGATCGATCTGTCGCCATGACAGAATCGGGCCACACACGTTTGGGCGCCAAATAAGTTTATTGTTATATATTAGAATACTGTAGCGAACTACGTTTCGAGAGCTGGTGTAATTTGTAGCCTACGTTGAGCACGCGCTGGTTCCGGCATGAGTTACCAGTAGAGGGGGGTCGGGGATAGGTTTTAGGAACGCTGCTACTTGCTCTATAGACAAACAACAAAATCTTATTACTTCGCGTGCTAAAGGGTACGAGGATCTCCGCAGGACTAATGGACCGGACTATTGACTAGCAAAGGACAGACAAGGACGAACAAGGATGTAGTGCCTTTATGCCAGCGGTTGTTTGTGCTGACGTGCCCTCCCTACCATGATCACCATCGACCAGATATATATATGGCGATCCCAAAAAGGCGACTACACTTTACACGACAGATAACATTCGACGACGCATGGCTTCCCTATTGACTCTACTCAACTTTAGATGACATTATAAATTTTATTTTTAACCATAGAATAATCCTATTAACTGACAAAAATTAATTCTAAACAAGAGCATTAGGATCCTAAGAAGTGATTAACATATAGATTGAACTTAAAAATGCGAATTTAATGAATAAAAATTAAATTTAGCGATCGCTGAATATTTCAGTGCTCATGTATATACCATCTAGCTTTTACATGAAATAATACAAATGTAGAGAGCGGGTATAATGGGTGTAGGCATGTAAAATTATGCCATTATATGTGAGACTTAAAATTTTATTTTATTGAGCAGGGAGTTGGGTAGGGTTTTATGGGAGAAAAATTTTGGAATTTGGAGTTTCTTTCATCATTTTTTTTTTTTTTTTTTTTTTTTAGTACGGCATTTAGAAGGGGTGAATTTTAAATTTTGTAACAAGTTAAATTTTCTCTTTAGACTTTTGTTTTATTTAAAAAGGGTAGTTGAGATTCTTATGACATTAAATCGACTCACTTTGTTTTCCCACGAAGAAGCGCTTCTCGAAGGGGGCCTGTGAAAGAGAACCTCAACTACATAAGAGATCGCTAGCGTTACTCTCACTTGCCTTACTCGTACTCTACAGCGGTACGGTACTCTGCCGTTAAGACATGGGAGAGGGAAGGGAAACGTACATGGGAAGACGGGACTGCTCAGCTCTAATGCATATTTTCCTGTTATTGACCTTCTCTCTTGATTATAACTATTCTCTTAAATTACTTAAACTAAAATTCAGCTTCAATCTGCTTCTAGTTGCGTATAATGACGCGTAAAATTCGAAACTTTAAGTTTTAAATGTAATTCGAAATGATTTTGTATTTGAGGGGTTGATTAATTCATTTTTTTTTCTTGGGCTATATTTCCCTACGGCTTACGGACGGTATTGCCGGTAAATGGACCCTAGCCTAAATTTCGCTGGCTACTGGGCTACTCTACAACATATAAACGTTGATGTAGAAAGTAGAATAAATATGTAGATAATATAAATATAAATATCAAATTCTCGGCGCTTTGGTTGCTGCTGAGGGATCTCGGATTCTGCTGCTGCTGCTGGTGCTGATTGATCGGTTGGCCTTTTGCGATTTTGAGATTGCTTCCGGTTGGCCTTTCGTTCTGCAGACGCCTCATACGCCCAAGCCTGGCTTTTGGCGGACCGGGGTTATGTAATTAGGTGCCACCTAAAAACATTAGGGCGTTCAAACACCACTTTATCAACTTCTCGCACTCAAAAAACTTACCCACTAGGGGTTGGCACTTTAGCACTTGTGTTTTTTTGGTTTTTAAGCCACTTGCAACGGCGATTGCCGGGAATTTTGGAAATTATGGATTTCCTTTAATTTGTGTAACTTTGATCTTTGCACTTGCAACTAACTTCTTCTTCGATCCACTGGTAATTTTGGTGTGACTCCAAACGAAATTGACTTCGGGTCGGGACCCTGAGTCCGACCTGTCGCTCAAGCCTACTCACCAATTTGGTGAAGTTTTGGGAGTTCTGGCTCAAGAGACTATATTTTCTACTAAACCATGTAGACCAAACTCTGTTGCCTACTTTTGGGCCGAAAGCAATCTTAGCCAAAAGACAAGCAATCCTACAATATTGACACGTGCATATCCATCCAGGCAGCAGCTTCCTATATCAGAACTAAACAACTAAGAGATACGTAAAGAAATGCCGAAACACAGGGAAAATGCATTCAAAATGTTGCTGCGAAGAAATCACAAAAAATCAGGCATCACAAATCAAGCATTTGAAGAATGAGGAGAATAGCGCGCTTCAGATATTTGGGAAAAGTAAAACTACCAGCGAGGTTTCCAGCAACTAATTATACGATATATAAGTCAAAGGAACATGCATTCAGATACATACATTATAGATAATCAGATTTGTAATCTCCGCTCTTCACGAACCTCATAAGAACTTTTCTATGATAAAATCTCTCTCTATCTCTACCTATATATTGTTTCCACTGCTCTACTTCGGCAAACATTCAAAGATGCTTTGATTACTCAGCAAACCAGCAAAAGGAAGAACAGAACTACTAATAACTTCGGCCGGGTCGACGTTAAATGCCCTTTCCGAAAGCAATTGGCTTCATAAAATAATAGTGAAATTCCGTAAGGACTAATGCGCCTTCAGCACTTCCAAGATAAATACTACGAAAAGGGCATTTCTACCGTACAGTCATAACAGAAATTCTTATTAGGATTCCTCTAGAATTCGTTACATTTAAGTCACACCAAAGACAAAAGCATATAGAAAATGTTAATGAAGCAAATGATATATTATGGCAAGTTATTTCAATGGCAACCAATACAAGAAAAAAAAATGCTATTTACTAAGTTCAATTTGAATGACAAGCGACGTTAAAACACGACACACAAGAAGATCAACAACACGAGAATATATCATTTATTGCAAATGTTGAACAAAATTGATTAAAAGGCGAAGGTCTGCGCTCTCGCTGGGCGCCCCGAACACCTTATATTGTATTTTAATATCTCGACAACAATCGAAGGTCGAGAAACGACAATAAACTGTGAAATGAATATGTAAAAACAAAACAAAAACACAAAAACTAAAATTATACTAAAAATTGCGGAGAAGGGCATTATTAATATTGATGAACACAGAAACTTGAATTGTGTAAAACTAAAAACTAAAGAGAAAATTTAATGAAAAGCAACATTTAAAGAAAAAACAAAAGAAAATTCATTAAAAATTGTTTTCTAATAAAGCAAAAAACTGCCTTTTATTTATTCACGGGCATCGGACTATCGTAGACCATCAATAAAAATGCAATGTGTTGGGGTTTTACATAAAGCGGTGGTATTTCTTTATTTACCATTGATAAACCATTTAATCCGTATATTGTATATATAAATAATTCAAACATTTATGGCTTTATATTATTAAATATAAATGTTTTTGGGTGTATGCGCCATATCGGATACTGGGTTTAACCTTAAGTTCATTTACAAGTTTTGCCCGCTTGCGCAAAAAAATTGTGACCCAGGTTAGTAAATCAAGTATTTGTAATTCTCTTTTGGGGCATACTTAGTATTTCTTTTGGATATTTTGTTTGAATAATTGTTTAATTAATTTGAAATTATCTTACAAAAGTTTTCTTTCTAAACTGTTGATATCTCGTATAGTTTAGTGCGTTTCACAAAGGAACCAAGTTAATGACGACATACTAAACTATATTTATGGCCTATCCACTATCGTATCAATGCTATGAATTTCTCAAGCTGACTTCGGATCTTTTTTTTAAGTTATCTGATGGATGTGCATTTCAAAATGTATTATATTACTAATCAGTCTTTATAACGAAAATAAATACGACCGGTCAACAGAATGCTCTACAAAAAGGGTTCGGAACTAACATCGTTTGCTAGATGTGGTTGGATTAGGCTAAAGCGGACGAATATATGATTTATCAGCTAGCACGATTTCCGATCCGAAATAAAAGTACATTTAACTACGAGGGGCTCAAAAAACAAAACCTTATAAGCGGGTGTATTTTGGTGGAAGGACATTCCAGCGTGCAGTAGGTTAAGGTCGAAAGTCTTGTGCGTGTGAGATATGTATGGGGGACCGAGGATAGTATTCGTTTGTATCATACATTAGATAATATTCATATTGTCGCTTTGTTACATTACATTTTACATTCATCTTAAACGATAAGCGTTGAGAGACCATAGAAAATACATATGCCAAAGCCTTGCTGGGTGTCTATCATCTATGCCGACTAGCTGAAGCATAACGTTTTGGCTAGTTAGTGCCATAAAATTACGATTTACCACTTTACAGTTTATGCTTACAATAAAAACCATAGAATTGCAGCTTAAATTCGTATGCCTTTTGTTCATTTCTTACTTTTTTTGCGTTTTAGCTTTAGTTTCGATAAGAGAAATTGCTTAGGGGAAAATACTTTGAGTGCTTGCACATGATCGAGCTATGATATTTTATTCCTTTCAGTTATAATATTGGTTAGGGTCTTACACTTAGCTATCCGATATTCATTCATATATGATATGATAAACTTTAGTTTACATTGATTACTTAAACACGATTAGCTTATTATCTTACACATTGTATACGAGCATAGCATGTATAAATATAAATATATATTTAGATTTAGATTTAGCCGTAGATGTAGGTGTAGTTTGGATGTAGATATAGTTTTTTAGGTTCAATTTTTTCTTTTTTGTGGGTCATCTGAGTGGCAGTTAGCGCTACATACTTGAGTGGATCATCGTCAAGGCGTCGAAGCAAATGAAGAATAATGTAATTCATTGGGGGATTAGGTAACCAGCTGATCCTTTGGAAGATTAGTGGATTTGGTATGGCTTCTCTGGGGGCCGGAGCTGTACAAAAACCGAGAGGCTAACTTAGAAGGTTATGGGTAATGCTATGGGTCACTCTATAAACTTTGAATAGTACGGATTTAGGGGGTTTCATAGTATAATAGAGGAGCCATCCTAGTGCAGCTGGGCCGTCACATACAGTCCGCAATCCTGGTCGGAGGCCATCGAGTAGTTGGCCGAGTCGCGATCCTCCGGAATGGTGGGATGCGTCTCGTGCGGCAGCTTGGCGAAGGCATGATGACCGGCTCCGTAGCCCAGGTGTCCATAGGGCGACTCCGCCGCCTTGGTCACATGGGGCAGGCGGCGCAGGAAGTGCGGATTGGAGTAGCGCACTCCATTGGGCAGCGTGGTGTGCGGCGCCTGTTGACCAACACCTCCCATGGCCACCGAGGCATTGGCGTAGTGCATGCTGCTGCCGCTGCTGCTCGGAGTCATGAAGCTGGAGACCTGCGATGGCGGCGGCGGCGGTAGCGATGGACCCATGGAACTGGTCATCGCCGAGGTGGAGGCATATCCGGCGAGCTGCTGGCTGTGGCAGCCCACCGGCAGCGGCATCGTGCTGCAGTGAGCCGTATAGTCGAACTTTTGCTCCGGCACCGAACGCTGCAGCGGCAGCGTGGCACTATTGATGACCGACGACGAGGAGGCAGCAGCGGTGCTGCTGGCCAAGGGATCGGCATTAAAGCTGGACATGCGCATATTGGTGCACCGACCGTAGGGCTCCTCCTGGATGGGCGGCTGCGGGGGGCGTGGCGGTGGCTTGCTGTTGGCCCGCGGCCGGATGATGACCTCAAGCTCACGCTCCTCGCCCGAATGGACGCCACTGGAGGACTCGGAGGGGGCGCGTTCCGGCGGCGAGGTGGTGTTGGTGCTCTCGGTGGTGGAGGTGGTGTCGCTGCGGGGCGTCAACGCCTCGTTGGGAACGCCCGAATCGGCGCGTCGCAGGCAGCGGGGTGTGGAACTGGAGGCGATCTGGGGATGGGGCAGAACCAAAGTGAAAGTGGTCAGGGAGCAGTCGGGATAATGAGAGATTCTAGGAGGTGACTAGGGGGACTAGGGGCTCTGCTTCAGCGTGGCCCCGTCTGCAAGTGAAAACGAAATCAAATCAAATCGGGGAGACAGTCTCGTAACCTCATCCTCATTCTCATCCTCGGCACATCCATCAGCCGGAGCACTAATTTCGGACAGTGTCGCTGTCGCTGTTGTCCCCCAGAACAATCCACAAACCCCCCTCAATGTCCATGTCCATGCCCTGTCTGTGGCCCTGGCACTGATTTATGCTGTCTCATAACAGCAAACATAAATCTCCGGCTGCTCCAGGGGCGTGACATGCTACACACACGCCCCCACATGACGACGCACAGCCTCCCTGCAATCCCACATGCAAATCACAAGCAAGAACACAAAATCATTCACTATGCACTATTCACTATGCTGAGGGGGAAATACCCTAGCTATGGGTGCACCCAAAAGTCTGGGAATTTATTTCATTGTGACGGGGAATTTGGGTGCAACATATGAGAGGCCTATCAGGGATTGTTGAACTTATAAGATACTAAAAGTTAAACTTATCTAACTTATCTTTAAGTGGGGAAAACAAGTTGTATACTTGAAAGAGTTTTGAATAGAAATGCTAACTCCTAATTGGGGATAGTTATAATATTTTTTGTGAATAATCTTTTTTAAGTTTTCCATTGGGAAATCTAAGCTACACCAAAAAAAAAAATAGTCATCAATATGCCCCTATTTAAGTGTCAATGTGACACTATCGAGTGGAAAAATAGTTTTCACCCGAAAGTCATTAAATTGACTCTATTCTGGTGTTACTTTAAAACTTTTGAAAATATTAATTTGACCCTTTTTGGTGTTAAAAAACCACTACCCGGTGTCATTAAATATCATAATCACACTATTTAGTATCAAATTCTTTTTATTAAAATGCGGTATACTTTTGACCAAATTTGATCCCATAAGCAGTGTCATTTTAACCCACAAATATTAAATAGACACTCAGGAATTTTTTGGGTGTACGAAAGTCCCTTGTGCACCTAGAAAATGTGATTTTTTTAAAATCCCCCTACTAACAACCTGCCTAAGGAAGAGTATCTACCTATAGTATATAAATATCTATACTATATAGCCATTTCTCCACTTACATGCGCTTCGTTGGTGTGAACGGCGACCGTGACCGGAGCCAAGGGGCTGACTAGATGCTGCTGCGGATTGCTCTGTTGCTGGAGAGGATGCTGTGGTGGCTGCTGGTGCTGCTGATGCGACTGCTGCTGTAGCTGCTTCTGCTGGAGAGGATGCGAGTGCTGAAGTGGATTGTGGTGGTGCTGGTCGGGCGACAACTGCATCATCTCGGGCATCGCTTGAGGGGCACGACCGTAGATGCCGGTGGAATGGGGCAGTACCGCTGGTGGCTGAGGCACTGGGGCTCCCTTCATGGGCAACGGCGGCGGTGGTGGCGGTGCCTGAGTCGAAGGCTGCGGCGGCTCCAGGTCCCTGGTGGAGGCGTACGTAATGCTGTCGTCGCGCACACAGGCCAGCAGCTTGCCCTCCTCGGAGATATTGTCGTCGCTGATGCCACCCAATCCGCTGAGATTTGCATAGTCGTGGGGATGTCCATGGGCAAAGGATTGCGTCTGCCGTTGCTGCTGCTGCTGCTGGTGATTATGATGATGGTTGGCCGGCGGCGGCGGTGGAAGCTCGTCGTACTCCGAGAGGTGGAGCAGGCTGACCCCCACCGAGGTGTTGCTAACGCCCCTCTTCATGCCCATGGTGATGCCCACGACGGCTCCGGCGGTGGCCGCCCTTAGTGTCGCGTACTCGCCGTCGTCAGCTTCCCCCGCAGCACTGGCAAAACATATCGAGGCTCCACGGCTCGTATGGCTAAGGGAGGATATGGATATGTTTCTGGTCAGTGGGTGTCATATTATCTAACTAAAATGTCGCCTTGTGTTGGTTGCTTTCAGGTCTGTCAGGCACCTCTGGGAACAGATCGAATTAAGAGCTGGGAATCGAATATAATAGATCTAACTATTTAGTAACTAAAATCAAGTTTTTAACTTGAGTTTTAAACTGTTTAAGATTTTTCTAAATTATAAGTGACATCTCTTTTTTTACACAAAGGAGGAAAATATAATAACTCCAACGGTTTAATAATAAAATCAAGATTATAACCTGAGTTTTAAACTGTTTAAGATTTTTCTAAATTATAAATAGACATAGACTTTTTTCTACACAAAATTTGTAGCTAGTCATTCAATAATAAACAAAAATACTTATTATATTAATATCGTATTTAATGACAGAGTAGAATTAACAGTTTATTTTCATCTCATTTAAATTACCTTTTCAAGCCCTTTAAAATATTTCTAAAATTCGTTCTGTTCCCTTGAATTTGTGCAAACATTGTCTGTGTTAGTTCAATGGTTTTCCGGTTAGTTAAACTAATTACCAAGGACAACAACGACAACAACAACACGGCGACATCGACAACAACAACACAAAATCTGCGAACTCTTTGTTTTAGTAGTAATTGTTAATTGAAATTCAATTCGCCCACACTCAATTAGCCAGAGTTAGTAGTAATTAAGTTCTAGTAAATCAAACAATTGAAAAATAAAATGAAAAGAATCGTTTTTAAAAAACAGGCGACAAGCGGAACAAAATAGTTTCTCATCATTATCCTTCATCCTCTATACATACATGTCTCTCTATATATATATGTGGATAAATCGTTTTGTTATGTTAAAATTGAACAATCGTTTTAGTGGACAAACAAAAGCTTAAAATAAACGAAAACGCAAAAAGTGGTTATATAAAATGGCGGATGTCAGAAGCACGCACGAATCGAAAACTGAAGAAAATAGTGCTGGTAAATGGTAAATGTGGGGAAAATTAGGTGTGGCAAAACGCTGCACTAATGGCTAGTGTTGGGCAATTAGTTTTCAATAATGAGTCTTTCCCAAAAACGGAAAGGAACGTGCAAAGGAAACACACCGATAAAGTACGAAATGAATGAATTAGCAGTCTAGGTAAACGAAAAACACAAAATCACATGGAATTCCTGAAAATTGGTGCTGGGTTTTTGGTGGTTTTTGTTTTATGTGTGTTTGGGTGATTGGATAATATTTTCTTTTTTTTTTTGGTGGTGCAGTGTGTGTGTGTGTATGTGGACAAAAACTAAATGAAACTAGTTGCTATGGGGTTAGAGTTAAGAGAACGGACAAAATACGGAGCTTCGTAGCCGTAATGCTTTGTTTGTTTGGTTGTTGGTAGCTAAAAAACGATTTTTTACCGCTTGCCATCAGTTTGTTCTTGGTCACCAATTAGTAGGACATCATCAGACGTACTCGTAACTTCGTTGAAGGTGACCTTCAGCTTGGGCGAGCTGGGCGTCAGCTTGGGCCAATAGATGTCCTCCTGGGCGGCCAGACCCATTCCAGTGCCGCCCATGCCCATGCCCATGCCTCCGTTAATACCCATGCCCCCACCCATTCCCATTCCCAGTTCCGTGCTGGTGGCCGTGCTCATCATGTCCGGCTTGGAGTCGCCTCCGTTCACCGTGGTGCTGGTGGAATTGCAGCCGCTGCTGCTCGAGTTGCTACCCGTCCGCTGGCCGCTGGACATCAGGAGCGGCTGGGCACTCGACTTGCCCAGCAGGCCGCCGTAGGTGCTGTCCAGTGGCGGCAGCTTAAAGTGCCAGCGACGCTTGATGGTCAGGCACAGCCAGATGACAATCCACAGCAGCAGGTGCGTCACTCCGACGAGAGCTGGAAAATCAGAAGAGGAAAGGTGAGATGGGAAACGTAATACGGTTAAGCCACATCAGGCGTATGACAGCTTAATTGGACCGAGTCTGCAGTTCGATTGTCTCGCCTCGAGTGACACTCAATACCCCTTAGCCCCCCCCGTAGTCTTTGTCTCCGTCTATCGGCTGGCCATCTATCCGGCGATTAACGCTCAACCAATCGCAGATCCAAAGTCCAAACAAGGCCGCTAATTGGCTTAGACCACAAAACACACCTCAAACCGAGTTCAAGGCGCTCAAAAACCCCCCTTCCATCCAATTATGCAGATTCAACACACTTAATCAAATGGGGACTTTGACACCGAAGTGATTTGCATCACGACCCCTCCGCTATTTGCTATTTCAAACGTCTTTATCTATGAATTCATCGATTTCAACTAGTTTTGACAAAAAGACTTTTCAAAAACTTTCACTAATGAACTTTTTCAATGCTTTAATTTATTATTTAAAAAACATATTGAACTTAGTTTTGGTATTCTCTAAAATTTATTCGAACTGAATTTTAATAACGGGTATAAAAATTATTCTTTAATGGCATTTTTTTCTAGGAACTTTAAAAATTATTTAAACTATAAAAAAATGCTTTTCAAACAAAGTAAATAAATTAAAAAATAAATTTTCTACAAAATGTATAAAAAAAATCGTCATTGACGAAAAATTTATAAAATTCAACGCGACTAGTTTTTTTAATGAATTAACTCTTTAAAAAGTATTCGCAGTGAATTTTAAAAATTTGTCTTTAAGGGCGATTTTTTCTAAGAACTTTAAAAATTATTATTTATTTTTTTTTGATTATTTTTTTTTTTAATGTTTTTCAAATAAAGTAAAGACATGTACAAAAAATGTATAAAAAAACGCCATTGACGTTAAATTCTTAAAATTCAACGCGACTGAACCCAAGACTAAACCCAAACTGATAAGGTTTAAAGTAACACCTTAAGAAATGGATTATCAAGTTGTAATCTGAACTAAGATCCTAATTTTTATTTTTTTCTTAATGTAAAAAAAATGATCAACTAAAAGCCGATATGATTGCCTAAAGATTAGCATTAAAAGTATGGTTTTTATTTTAAACTAAGTAAGACCCTTAGTCAAAATTTTGTACTCACCCGCCAGGAAAGTGGGGCAATGCAGGTTGTTCTTGTAGGTGGCGCTGAGATCGTTGAGAAGCGGCGCCTTCACCACCGCCAAGGCGAGGACGAAGCACAGGGAGGCGCAGTGGGCGAAGTAGATCCAGGTCTGGTGGCTCTTCAGGGTGATGATCGAGCGATCCCGCATTCGCGTGGCCAGGCGACCGTGTCCGTACAAGTACATGACCATCGAGGAGGCCAGCACCAAGGCGGTGGCCAGAAGGTACAGGGCCAGGGTGACCACTGCGTTTAGGATGAGCCCGGGCTGATGGACTGGCATGGCCTCGGCGTAGATCTGCAGCTTGTACAGATTCGAGACGCCCACATAGCCGAGGATAATGTCCAAAGCGGCCACCACCATCTGGAGGCTAAAGACGCAGGCAAAGGCCTTGGAGGTGTTCCAAAAGACCGCCGGATATCTAACTGACCAGACCAGCAATGCGCACAGCAGATTGACAAACTCGGCACTGGGTGGCTGGGAGAAAATGGCCACATCGATGGGCTTATCGATGCCGAAGAAGAGTTGCAGCATTCCGGCAAAGCCATCCAACCGGACGTAATCCTGCCCAGCCTTCGGGCCACTTGGTGCCGCCGGCGGTGAGGGAGTCAAGGCGGGCACAGCCTGAAAATCACCATCCTCCAGCTCGAAATCCTCGCTCTCCTCGGCTAGCGGCTCCTCCTCATTCGATTTGGCCACAAATTCACTGGAATTTATATTGGCATCGCCAAGCAAATATTCCGGTTCAATTTCTACACCCGCCGCCCGTTTGGAAATCCTACGCTTCTGGTTCTTCGGCTTGATGGCAATGATCTTGGAATTGGAGGCCGAAACTGGAGTCGAGGGAATTGGTAGCTCCGGCAGCACTTCGGGCCTCACTCGATGGATGCTGCTGTCGCGGGTGGTGGTCTCCTCCTCCTGCCCCAACGACGGCGAGAAGCTCTCGAGGATCACCTGCTCGTGGGAGGCCACGTGGTGGCGACGCGGTTGCTGCTGCTTCTGTTTGTTGTGATGTTTGTGGTGTTTGCGGGTTTTGCCATGGTGGTGATGTGGCTGTCGGCTGGTTGTTACATCAACAGGTTTTTGCGTGGTGGTGCTACTACTTGTTGTCGTTGCAGCCGTGGTTGTTGTTGTCGTCGTAGTTGTTGTAGTGGTGCTGGTTGTAGATGGTGTTGTACTAGAGCTGGTTGTTGTGGTCTCTTTGCCCAGGGTTCCCAGCTTTTGCCAATTTTCCACATCCAACTTGCCGGCATCCGAGGAGGCTGATGTTGTGGTTGTCGTGCCAACTGCGGTTCTTGGCGGCAGCTCATCAAAATCGGGCATGATGACGGTCCCCTCTTCGACGAAACCCTCCCCGTCTTCATCAGCATCCCCATCCTCGCCACGCATCGCTTCCTCGAGTTCCTGACGCTCCTCCTCGTCGATATCTTGATTAATTAAATCGGGCACTTCAAAGTATTGGCCCTTGCCCGCATCCAGTTTGGTGGTGGATGTGGATGTGGAGGTGGTGCTCGTTGTCCTCGCCTTCGTTGTTGCCGTCGTCTTGGCCGCCTTTCTGCCACTTGCCTTATCGGGTCGCAGGTCGAACAAATTGTTATTGCCCCCGGCTGGCTGGGCTCCTCGAATGGCCGTGAACATCGTATCGTTGAAGTAGTCCTCCTCGTCCTGCTCCAAGCTGTTTGCGGTCAGGTTCAATCTGGTTTGGTGGTGCTGCTCCTGCTGGTGGTGCTGCTGCCTGGGGAAGGGTGGCGTGGCCCCCACCACCGACATGGCCATCAAATTGCGTCGATTGATCACAACAAAGTCCAATTCAGTGGCCCAAATTTGCTCTGCAATGGAGATAGATTGAGATAGAGAGAGAAAGGATAAGTTGCTGTGCTCAAGTATATAGAATTAATTGCTTTGAACTCGGCAGAGCAGGCAAACGCAAGTTGCTTTCGCATCTAATTGGAATACATCACGCAGGATTACATGGGAAGCACCTGTTAAGGACAAACGCACACACTGCCTGCATAAGCATGAGCTCCTGTAATGAGCAAGAGCGGCTTCCTGTCTTCCACTCGAATCTCCCCTCAATCGTTAATTAAATGAGGCATCGATACTTGCAGGACTTCTATAATCCACGCCCTGTTGATTATTAGATGGTAGGCAAGGGGTTGCCCAACCGAAAGGGATGAATTTTCTTTGCTTGAATCTCAATGAATACCAATCGAAAGCTTGGGAAATCGATGGCGCAGACCTGACAATAGGAAAACTACGCTGTATTGGCCTGGTTGAAAGGCAGAAAGCAAAAAAAGGGAACACAAAAACCTACACATGTATCCCCCCGGCAGATTCCATTTCCGTTCGACTCTGCCGAAATGGGAAAACAATGCTCACAATTCCAGCATTAGGCACCATGGACGGTCAGTTTCGGAGGTCTAATTAGGCGCACATTGGGAACATATGTGGAGGTACACATATGTCTATGACCAACCTCCCTACACCTTTTCACCCGATCTGCTTACACCATCAATGGTATCAACTATACATCCCAACTGATAACTGCGCTGCACTGTCCTAACTCTAGCTTAATATTCATGTTTATTACGGTCCATACTCCAGGCTCTGCGATTTATTGGAGTGAGCTGAGAATTGGGGATTTTCTCCGGGGGTTGGCATGACACCCTTTTCCTCAGTTCTATACCAAACAACAAGGAGTGGCCCAGCGGAGTCTGGAAACCAATCAGGCGAAGAGATAAACACATTTCTCAGCGTTGGGAACTTTAAGGAACATAATTTGTGAAGCTTTGGAACTCCTTCAAGCATGCAAATATCTACTGGAAACTATTTAATATATTTCATAATTTGTTATTAATCTGCTTTATCATTACCTTTTTTGAAATTTTATAATATGTGTAATTCTATAAGAAATTTGCTCGATGATTTGGAATTAAGCAGGAAAATAATGAAATATTGAATGGAAAATGCGCAACATTTAAGCAGTTCTTTGAAAGGCAATCGGTTAGGAAATAATCCTAACATCCCTTTGGGGGTCAAAAGCAGGTAACTTTTCCACCCCAAGGAATTCGCCGCACCAATACTTTTCCCTCCGCCACAGCCCCTAAGCCCAATTAAATCCGCCTCGAAGTCACAAATTTGTTTGTCTTAGCCCAGTTAAGACGGCGCTGAGCTTTGTGAAGATTCCTGAAAGCTTTCTAATTAGTTTACTTTATGATGTCGCTCATGGCATATACATAGCATAGCACCTATAGAATGCCCCAGTTAATAATAGGGAAAAGAAACGGAAATTTGCCAAGTTAACACTTTCATAAAATAATTTATTAGTCGAGTTGCTTTAAGGACATTTACCCAGCGGGCGGTTGGAAATAAAAGAAAGCCGCCGAAATAAGAATTGCCGGGCAAATATTAAAGACAATGGCCCGAAACGAAGGGCGAAAATCTGAGGGCCAAGATGGGCGAAGCCAAGTCGAAAACCGGGAAACACGAACTGAGTCGAAATTACAACAATGGCTGCCATAATAATATGTCGTTGTTGGCGTTGTCGTTGTTGTTATGGCTAAAGACGATGCTGGCAAGTGGCTCGTAAAACCGACAACACCGAAAATCTGAAGATTAACCCGGAGGCCTCCCATCCAAGCCACCCACTCTCCCTCTTGATTATGCCAATGACAATAACACCAACGAGAACGAGAACGAGCGGCCGAAAGGACGATGCAGGATACGAAAGATGCCGGAGCTCTGGGGATAAGAGTAATGAAAATGCGCAAATCCAACTCCGGCCACGCCCACCGGTGGCGATGGCGGTGCCGGGGACTTCCCGCTGCGGTAATAGTTGCGATAAGACGGGGGGCCCACATTATCCCAGAGCCCAGAGCCCAGAATCCACCCAATCGCTGGCCCTTCCTGCAGCTCAAACTCGCGCTCGTTAAGTCTTTAGCATGAATAATGATAAGATGTCGGCTGGCAGCTAAGCCAATCTACAATTGCGGTCAGAAAAATAGTGGTGTTGCCTTTATAGAACCCAGGTTCACAGGCACAATTACAACAACCTTATCAGGGATACTTTGAAAACTTTGACTCAATTTTATTTTAACCATTATTATATTTTAGCCAAAAGTAAGAGCTAGTACTCAACCCAACAAAAAGTCGTCCAAAACAAAAACTTCATATGAAACAAAATTTTTTGACGTTGTTTTTCATATGAAGTTTTTTGTTTTGGACGACTTTTTGTTGGGTTGAGTACTAAGCCTAAAGAAAAATTGGTTAAACTTCATTAAATTTTTATTTTTAATTTAAGCACTTTTCAAATATTAAAATATATTTGGAGTCCAGCTTGCTGACATACTTTTTTTACCGCTGCTGTAACTGCTGCTCACCCCCAACGGACAGTCCGGGGCCAATGTCTTGAGCCACTTCCGGAGCGCCCGTCGAGAAGGCCACCCACTTCCAACACCCCAACCCCCATCCACCCATCCACGAACCTCCTGGTAATCTAAGCGAGCCTGTTTAGCAGCCTTTTATGCGCCCAATATGGCGCTGGACTGGGGCCTACTGCTATCCATCCACTTTTTCCTGCCCTTTCCCCCGGAACTTTCTCATCTGAATTTTCATTTGTTTTTCGCCAGAGATGTCTGCATTAATTACACTGTGCAGCATTTTTAGTGCTTTTTAAATTTACCTCGATGGATGCTATATTTTTGGATTCGTTACGAATTCCCAAGTTAAACTGCGTTTTCCAAAAAGTTCCCCGACGCAAGGATTCTTAGCAAAAGGACCTCAAAGTTCGAAAAATGCTGAAATTGGCCAACTTTGCGGAGCTCTCAGAGGCAAATGGATGCATGGTTTGATTCGATGTTAAAGTTTTTTAAAAGATACACCCTTTATCTTTTAAACCCCATACTTAAAAAATTTTTAAGATTTTTTTTAAGGCAGAAAGAAATTCTAGAAAACATAGTCAAAAAACATAAAAGTATACAGATGCGGTCAAAATGGTAGTAGTGCTGCCGCCCTGTGTATTTAAAAGTTTGTTGTTGTAATTGATCTTTTCCTGGTAATATTGCATTGATTATAATTTTACTATTAGACTAATTGGATAAGAAAAAATTACAACATCAAACTTTTAAAAACACAAGGCGGCGACACTGCTACTATTTTGACCGCAGCTGTATGTTTTTCAGTTTTTTGACTATGTTTTTTTGGAATTTATTTCTGCCTTAAAAAAAAATCCTAAAATTATTTTATGTATGGGGTTTGAAAGATAAAGGGTGTATCTTTTAAAAAACTTTAACTTCGAACCAAGCCATGCATCCATTTGCCTCTGAGAGCTCCGCAAAGTTGGCAAATTTCAGCATTTTTCGAACTTTGAGGTCCTTTTGCTAAGAATCCTTGCGTCGGGGAACTCTTTGGAAAACGCAGTTTAACTTGGGAATTCGTAACGAATCCAAAAATATAGCATTCATCGAGGTTAATTTTTGATGCTGCATAGTGTTATTTATGAATGCAGGATGGCGTATAAGTGATTTCGCCATAAAATTGTCCTTCGAAGTGATTTTTGTGTCATCTATTAATGAAATTAATTAATGAATTGCGACCACTTCCTTACTTCCTTGCCGCCCTTTCCTTGAACACCTAACTTTTTTTCTGATTTCTTTTTTCTGGCTGCCAACAACAGCTGCAGGCCGTTGGGAACTTTTTTATTATAATATTTTAATAAGTTTTCTTTTACTTTGAGATGCAAATGAGGCAGTTTAATGGGTCAGTGGGTAAGTAGAAATCTTTGGGCCAGTCATGTTCGTACAATTCCATTAAATAGTGGTTATGATTTCAGGAAAACTTTGTTAGTACACATTTTTTTTGCTCCTCTCTCTAGCATTATCTTTCATTGTTTTATCTTAACCACCTTACTTTTATGAGTTCTTAAATAACCCATAATTTACAGCTTCCGAGGCAAACACTGCTTATACGAAATTTCTCCCAAGTCGTTAAAGTCTTTTTGAATTTAATAAAACGTAATCGTGAAATGCATTTGTGGCCATATTTTGCACTCCTTTGATGGCTTTCCCCTGCAGCTTTTTATGCGAGTTGGGCGAAACTTTTAAAAGCATTTTTTATGATTCGCCTCGCCTAATTGCTTCATCTTTCTGTGGTCCCGATTTTTTGCTAATATAAAAGTTCCGATCCCAACCACCCATTAGTTTGGATACCTCCCCCAATCATTGGCTGTCAATCAAGATGCAGAGGATTTCTAATTGCTGGCTGAAAATCATAATTCTCAACTTACAGGCATAAGCGCATCATCAAGCCGAGCCGACAGGCCAATCTTGGCCAGCTTAAGTCTTTAAGGATGTCAGACGCGTTGACAAATTGCAGGGGACAAAAGGGAGAAGGGAAAAGGAAAACGGAGAAAATCCAGCCAGCCAGCCAGTCGAGCGTGAAAATGGCGAAAAGGAGTCGCGAGACAAGGCATTGCACTTAGCTGACCAGCTGGCCCCTTGACCCATCCATTTTCCCCCTTCCCCTCTCTTAGCCAAGTGCAACTTTAGCTTTGACTGCACACTTTTTATTTGTGCCAATGATTTTCTAATTTAAGAGCGGGGCTGGTGTGGGTGGAAAAACAATTTCCCGCCCAGCATAGATTGCACATCGACCGCCAACGCCATTGAATGTCTGTCAGCGACAAGAGATCGACTTTTGTGGGGAGCAAAAACAGGAGCATCAGAAAGAAAAAAAAAACACAAAAAAAAACGACAACGAAATTAATTGAAAAATCACATAGGGAGGACTACCCAGTCAGTCGGTCAGTTAGTCAGTTAGCGAGGAGGATTTAAACTCATCTCGTCATGGTTTTTATGATCCAGCCAATCGTGAACCCCATCCCAAACTCAAACCCAAACCCATTGCCCCGCTGTCGATGCCACATTTTTAATTTAGTCCGCGTGGAAACGATGGACTGGTTGGACTGGTCGATGTGGATGCCATTGTCTTCTCGTCCTGTTCTCTTTGGTTCTCTTCGGTTTCCCACTGGTTCAATAAACCCGCGAACAATTCCAGGACCAACTGCTGACCGGGGACTGAGCAGGACTCTCGGACCCACTTTAAATGTAGTAAATTTTGATTTGCCTGTCGATGCTGCAGCCATAGCTTTCCATCATTGTTGCACCAGTCGCGATGTTTTTCCCCCCACTTCCGCATTTCCAGCCGTCCATTCGTGGCCATTTAGCGAAAGTTTTGAATGCAAAGGGTATGTGTACTTTGTAAAGCGGCTTAGGAAGTTAGAGTTTATAACTATGAACCGTTTTATACTAAGTGGTTATCATTTTAACTTTTGTAATGCACGTTGATATAGCCTGCGTTTGTTTTTATTTTAATCCTTAATCCTTGAACAATATATTCAAAAATTGTATGAGTAGAATGGTACTCGCTATTATCGATTTCAAAATTAGATTAAGATTAAGATTTAAGATTAACAAATGTTATCGAATGTTAGGAATACTTTTTTTTATTTAATCCGATTTGTAATTATAGTTATCGCAGTCAAACTATTTAAAATATATTTTGTATTTAAAATATTTTATATTCTATTCCTGCAATATTCTTCAGGAAATTTTGATGATCCAGTAATTAAATTAAATATTTTAGGTAGAGCTAGAAACTCTTTTAGATGTCTTCGGGGACATCTCCATTCGCTCGGATCCAACTTTTTGGTAAGTTCCCCGCCATTACTTTTGCCGGCCTGTCATTAACTGTGGAATTAGTTTACTGTGCTGCGACGACAACGGCATCATGTGAGATTCGCCGATCCGACTGCACACAGAAATGGAGGAGTAAACAGCACACGGGGAACTCCTGGTCCTGGTTATGGGTCCTGGGATGATATGCAAACAGAGGCCCGTCGATGTGGCCCAGGACTCATTCGACGACTGGTGTCCTGCTCACAGTTGGCCAACATTTGCACAGTTTTGGGTCGCTTGGCTGGCTTCCGCTGCTGCTGCTGCTGCTGCCTTGTTATTAACATGGCTTATTGCTGGCCATAATGGGCGCACCTCCGCCCCTGTCAACCTGCCCCCCTCCCCCTTCGTCCTTTGCTCCTCTTTCGGTGTTTCAGTGTATCAGTGTGTGTGTGACGGGTGTTTACTCCTGCGGTTGTTAGCCTGTATGCTCGCTCGTTCGTTTGTGTTTTTGTTTGCCGAGCGGTTTTGCATACAACCACACAGAGATGTAGGTATATATGTATACATATACACTGTAGATGTTTGGCCAGCAGATTTCCCCAGCGATTGCCTTTGAAGCGGCTGCTCCAGCAGCTCCTCGGCATTTTTTCAAGCTTCCCCCGGATATTCCCACAAGTTCACTTTGTTAAGCGTCCTTCAGAGCATCCTACTAAACTTCTTGGTTAAACAGTGTGCACACACACACATATGGCAACGAATTTAAATTGGCCTGCTCACTTAACCCGCCCCTTCCCCCCGATTTTTCCCCTGAGAAGCAAGGAGAAGGGAAATTGCAGCCAATTTCAGTTCGTTTTAAGCACAATAAATTGAATTAAAACACGGAATGGCAAACGCAATTGTCAATTGATTGCATCGACAATGGAAATTATGATTGATTTAAAGCCCCACCCCATCCCACTCTCGCAAGCCGGAAAACTGATGCCCCATGCACTCATGTTCATTTTAATAGTTGTCATCAGCGACAGCGCCAGTGTCATCGCACCATCAATATGACAATGTACAACGCGGCGTATGCTTGACAACAATGAAAGTGGGGATAAATGCAATTCGTGCCCGGCAACATTGTGCATGGGTTATTCGCCCGCCCCTTGGCCACCCAGGACTTCCTCTTCGGCGGGAAGTGCATAATCGACATGCTATAAAAAATAGCAATAAAATTCTCTCTTAGGGATCGAAAGTTTGAGTACCCTTTTGGAAACATTTTATCTAGTATACTAGCTTGCTACTATGGCAAATGGTTTTGGTTAGAAAATATAAATTTAGAGGAAAAGTCTTAGATTTTGAGTTTAAAAGTCATGAAGATTCAGAAAATGATTCCAAAATAAGAAATAAAATAATCCAAGATAATATAGTTTATAAATCGATAACCCACTGTGATAATCATATTTTAAAGAAATAAATAAAGAATAAATGAAGTTTTTCATTGGACCGGAAATGCACAGCTGCAATGAAAGCAACATGGCGGGCGCTTCCGGCAGCTTCATATTGCTTCGTCGCTTCTGTTGCATACTTATGAGCGCCTTCCGCTTCCCAATTTCGCCCATTCAATGTGTATGCGCTTTTGGTTAATTAAACTCACCTTTTGGCAGCAATCCGTTCTCAATGATGCGAGCCTCGAGCAGCAGGCGCGGCAGGAGCAGGCACAGGGCAATCAGGATGTGGACGAAGGCCGCCGTCGGTCCGCCGTGGGTCCAAAGGGCTCGCAGGGTTCCGCCCCGCGACTCCTCCTCCAGGCCATCGTGCGGCGACAGAGTGCAGCGCCGCTCCCTTGCGCCGGTGGCCAATTTGATGCCGTCGTTTGCCAAGTTTCCAACCTGCCGAGTAGTCCACAGAAATCGCAGTTATTAAAATGAAATATATATAGCTATATAATTCGGTTACCAATTTGATTCAGTGGGCTGGAAAGGAAGGGGAAAATAGTTCACATATGCAAATCTCCGCCCCGTTTGGGGAGGATTAACTTAAGCAAAAGCAAGGACTTGGCAATGACTGCTTATTGATTCGACCCCGCTTTCGCTTTTGCCCCTTGGGCGGAAATTGAAAATTTCCCAAGACTCACTCAACTTCCTGCCAAATGTGCATGCATATGCAATTTAATTTTCTCTAAAATGCGGTGGAATTATTTAGTCAAACACAAGTGCTGGCGAACAGCACATCGTAACTGCCGCAAAACAATAGGTTGAAAATAAATAATAGAGCCGAATAAAGCCAGAAAGATTTGAACAAAAGCGTTAAATCAAAAGGTGCTACAAAAATAAACAAAATCAAAATTTAATGATTGGGATTTTACAAAATATAATGTTACAATGTTATAGTATGAAAAAAAAGATTTAAAATGGTTTAAGGTTCATTAAACACATTTTATTGTATTCTTGATTAACTACTTTTTATTCATTGATTTTACATTATTTATGAAAATCTAAATGATGCGCAGAAAAATTATACACATTAAAAAACGAGCAACGTGCAAATTAATTAGTTTGTTTTAATCGATATTTCACACTGCCTCTCATTTATTATCGTGATTCAGAACAAGTAATAGTTAATCATGAAATTACAACAGGCACTTAACTACAAAATCATTGAAGTCAAAGAAATAATTCAAATTTATACTCATGTGAATAAATTGAATCGCCTAAAATCACCCATTTAATTTATGCGCATCATCTGAAATATCAAATTGTCTTTGGCTGCGTTTCTCACAATCACTGCATAAATTGCGCAACTGTGAATATATAATATTTGAAATGGGAAAGCATTCCGTAATTGCCTGCAACAGGCGACTGGCCAGAGGGAGATGTCAGGACGATATCCTTGGCTGACCGCACAACTCTTCTCATCCCCATGGGATGGCCAGTGGCAATTAATAAAAAATATATGTGGACAAATAAAAACCGCTAAAACTGTGAGAAAACTTCAATTGAACATGTGTAGAGCAGAAACAAAAATGCGGAAAAAAAGTGCTTGTGGCTTGTTTGGCTGTGTGTTTTAATGCATTTTTTATGCGCTCAAAATGCGAACACATCGCGATTTGAGCGACAGGGTGAGAGAAACCAAAGCATTGCGCATACGACGCGTTGGCGCATAAAGAACAGCAACAAAATAAAGGAAACGTTGCACGTGACAAATGGCGAAATGAAATATTTATATACGCGCACCCATGCAATATACATGCATCTATTATTTTCCACATATATATTCTCACGCTCCCCCCACATTTATTTTCGCGAGCTGCGATATAAAAAAAAGGAACACTAAAATCACGTGCATACATATATACAAATAAATGCGAGCTGTCGGGCTTTTAAATTAAAAACAAGCAGACATCAGCATGATGAAGGAGCTGGATCTGAATCAGAATCAGGATCTGAGGAGCACCAAATGGAACCCGACTCGTTCACTTTGTTTTCCTGCGCTCCGGTTTCGGTTTTGTTTCGTTTGGTTTGGTTTGGTTTTGGTTTCGTCTCGTTTCGTTTCGAGCAGAAGCAACAATGATTGCAATTTGCAAAAAGCAAAGTGCATTCCAAGTGCATCTGTGCGGGGAGAGGTGGGGGTTGGCGAGGCTGAGTGCCAGGCAGATAATACATTTAAATGTGCCAACATTTCGCGGCTCCTTCATCTCTAAATCATTTCACTGTGTGCAGCCGTTCATTAACGTCTAAGATGTTTGAAAAGCCTAAACGATGTGGTTATGTATTTAGATGGCCATTCTTTTTAATTGGAGCTTCAAAGGAAAAGTGAGTTCGTAATCTGAACAAAAAAGTATAAATCAGAAAATTGAAATGTATTTAATGACCTTCAAAAAACATAATAACTCATATTTCGGGTGAAAATATAAATAAAATGCAGCTATCATGAAGTTAATATACATCCTGCTTGTTTTCAACAAAGGAAATCATAGTGATAAACACTAGCTATAAGCTCCATATGTTCTTTAGTTTTTCGACATTGAAAAGTTTTCTACTAGGGGCACCTCCGTCGTGGTTGGTCAACCATTTCGTTAGGGGCACTTGCCGCATATGGAGTGCGGTTTATGCTGCCACCACCCCGTCGTTTCATTCGTTTAATTTCGAATGCTGTGCAAATATGAAAGTCGCAAAGTTTTCGCATCTCGTTGTTATGGTTGTGACAGTTGGCCAGTCCCTGCTCTTTTGCCCGTTTTGCCCGCTTTCCCCGGCTTTCCACCGCTTTTCCCACTTTCCAATTGCCCCGAAGCCTTATCGGTCGACACATACTCGCACCCGTAGGAGTTGGACTAGTCGTAATTGTGACTGGTCTTTCGGTCTGGTCTTCTGCTGGCAAAAAACTAAGCAAAACTATCTCTGTTCCTCGTCCTGATTTCGGAACTCTGGCTCCTGGCCTCTGCCAGCGTCCTGATAGCCACGCCTCAATGGTCAATGTTGGGATTTTAGTTTGCAACCAATTTCTGTTCGTTGTCGCTGCTGTTGATGTTGATGTTGCTGTTGCCTTTTATTAAACGTTCGGCGACGTGTGATGAACCCCTTTCCACCAGCCGCCTGTCTGTGTTTTTCAGCTCCCTTTGTCATTCAGCTCGTTGGCGGTTTTCGGTTTTCAGTTTTCAGTTCTCGGTTCTCGGTAGTTTTTCCCCCCAAAAATTTCCCCATTTCCCCGCCATTTCCTCGCCTTTCATCGCCCTCTGTCTGGCCGCTGACTGATAGGCAGCTTTTGCCAGTATTTTTTGACTGCTCCTGATGATGTTGTTCGTGTTGTTGAAGCTGCTGCCGCTTTTGTGGTCGTCTGGCAGCGGTAAAAAGGAATATTTGCATACAATTTGTATACTCTTTTGTAGTGTCGAAAAGCCAATGCAGAGATTTTTGTGACGGAGCCATGAATATTAATTCCGAAATCAATGGAAAATTGTAGGGCTTTGAGGTGGAATTTGTATTTTTCAATCAAAATAAATGTAAATAAAGTCACTTCAAACTATGTATTTTAGAGAGTTTTCAACTCTTCTGTATAAATTGTGTTTGATTGGAATTGGGTTGAAAATATCTAAACGAATTGAGGTCAAAGATTTATAGTCATAGAAAAATCTATAGTATTAAAAGAGATGGGATTTAATTAAGCTGTAACTTATTACATAAATCCAGTCAACTAGTAACATCTAAGAATTTCAAACAAAGCCTGTTCAACGTTTATTATGAGCCCAAACATGTCGCCTATCCGTTTTCCGGAACCAAGTGGAAAATAATCAACTCTTTCTGAAGCAGAACGTTCTGTACTTAATGGAATTATGTGTTCGGGGACTTAAAGGGGTGGAGAATTGTGGAGGACAAGTGACGCCGCTCACAGCCGACTTTGTGTGATAGGATCTATGGTCAGTCTGCTGTCACAGCCAATGGACAGTCTGTGGTGGACTGGGCCCTTCACTCCACTCCCAAAACTCCCAATCTCCCAGTCCACATTCCGTCAGCTTTCTTCCATTTCGCTTGTTTTAAAAACAAGCCAATTATTTGTGAAAACTTCCAGAAGGAGCGGGTGTTGGGTGTAAAAACAGATATGGGGACGAGGACCTGGAATGACAGCCACCACAGCAGCATTCGCATCAGCAGACCAAGCCAAAAGTGGCAGGAAAAGAACACTTTGAAAAAAAATACTACTACACAAAATACAAGAAAGGTAATTAAAAGATGTTAAAATATAAATATATATAGTATATAAACATTAATTAAATGAAATTAATCTGTTTAGAAAAGGCTACCTACTCATTTGACCATTTTTAAGTGGAATACTATATTTTATTCTGTTTTCTGTATTTCATTTTATTTCTGTTTTCAGTGTAGACGCCATTTACTTCCTTTTCTGAGCCCCCCTTCATATCTGTCTTTCATTTTAAGTGGCTTTTACCAGAAACAAGGAGTGAAAGAGTAAAAGGTGGTGGAGTAAATGCCGTTTGTCGGTGATTGTATTTTTCTATCGAGCTTTTGCCATCATCGTCTGCCGTACACTTTATAAATAGATGATTAATAAAATACAAACCAACTATATGGGAGGTATAGGAACTATGCTTCTATCTCTCGGCCAGAGGGAAATCGAAAGGGGAAAACCATAATTGCATTTATTATGCTGATAAAAGCAGAGACACTGGGGAAGGGGGTGAAAGGAGGAGCACAGCCACAGGACACACCAATAGAATGTGTGTGTTTGGAAAGGCACAGCCACAGGACGAGTGTCCATGTGTGCGTCTGTGTTGTCAGCCATTTTGCGGATCCACTGAAAAGGACCCACAACGTATGCTCCTCGTGGTCCTGCTCCTGTTTTTGTTTGCAAATAAATTTAATAACGTGAATAATGCCACTAAAAATAATTCGCACAAACACAAAGAGCAGCATCGTAGGGGCAAAATGGAGCCACTGCAGCGGCAGAGACAACAAAAAAATTTAATTATTGAGTGCAACCGAGTACATACACTCGCACACACAGGCAAGATAAAGGACACTCCGGTACACAGTTAATTATTGCAGGACCATGATCCCGGTTAAAAGCCCATTGAAACAATGCGACCACCACTCACCTTGAACACTGCCGAAGTGAAAAAGACCGGCAGGAGGATGAACACAACTCCAGAGAGCACAATTTGCAGATTCAGCTCTGCCACAGGCTCGATTTTCCAGGGTATCAGTGAGCAGCCTGCAGGGGAAAATAAATATATTTATAGGTAAAGAAAATAAATAATTTTATATGTAAAGAAAATAAATATATTGTAAATATATGTAAAGAAAATTATTGCAAATTGTGCATTAAAATAAGGTTTCCCGTTGAATTAAGCAGAAAAAACAGAAAATCCTTACGGCATAAAACTCTTCATTTACTTATAATTGCGAAATATTACAAACAAAATTTTATGGATAAATCTTCTATTAATTGGGTAAAATACAGATTATTTTAAAAAGAAAATGATAAAGTACAACTTCTGAGTTTTTGTCGTATCTCTTGTAAACTCCTATAATTCGTCCTGCCCATAACAGAAGCAAAAAATTCACATTATAAGAATTACATCGTCCAAAAAACAACTGTTTAAATAAAATTGGGAATTTTTTTACGAACTTTAATCTATAGTTGGACCTCGAGCCAGCCAAACCAATCGTTTGGTTGGACAATTTGTTTTTTTGTTTTACGAAAAATACGGACTTCTTTTACAGGAAAAATAGATATCCTTAATCCGTAATTTATGAGAAAAAAACAGGAGTAGTATTATGACGGCTTAACACGAGTTCTATATAAAATGAAAGTTTTAAATAGACATATTAACGTTCAATAATATATAAATAATTTATTTAGATACAACAACGAACTTTCTTAAAATCAATTGGCATACAGTCCAATGTGTAGTTATAACCAGGGACCGTAATCATTATAAGTGAAAAAATAAAAATCTCCATTTAATGATTATTTTGTAAGCGAAAAAAATATCGCTCAGAAATAATGATTATTATGTGAGCGATATTATTTCGCTTAAAAATATCACTCAAAGTGCGATTACAGCCGTTCTGTACGGAATTTTACAAACTTTTAAATTTCTGCTTGTAGGTAGAACCACGGAGCACACATCGAGTTAATAAAAGAAGGTGATTTCTTTGTATAAACTTTTTAAAACGCGGTTTTTAGTTGACATGAGGTATGCTTAAATACAACAAGTTGTATCAACCTTAGAACTTTATGTCATTTATTTATTAGTAAAACGACTTAACAAGATGTTATGAACTATTCCACTTAGATCCAACCCGACATGTGGGCTGGGTGTTAGTGTGTTGGTCCACCGAGCTGTAAGCACGAGTTCGATTCCCACAGAAAGTGTTTTTATACAAAAAGATTTTTTTTGTTTTTTTAAGCGGTTTATACAAAGAAAATTAATTTTTTTCTTAACGGAATATGTTCTCCGTGGTTCTACCTACAAGAGCACATTTAAATCTTTGTAAAATTTCGCGTAGGACGGATGCAATCCCACTTTGAGTGATATTTTTGAGCGAAATATATCGCTCACAAAATAATCATTATTTCTGAGCGATATTTTTTTTGCTTACAAAATAATCATTAAATGGAGATTTTTATTTTTTACTCAAAAAAAATAATCATTATTTTCGGTCCCTGGTTATAACACATCTATCCTATTTTAGACAAAAGGTGCAAAGATTATATGGCTTCAACTCACCCAGGAACCTGTAGGCCCCGTGCATGGCCAAGTAGCCCTGGAAGAGGGTCAGCAGCACTCCGTACCAGATGGACCAGAGCGAGTTGAGGTGCAGATAGCTGCCGGAATCGTGGCCGGAATGCTGGAGGCTGGTGTAGCGGCTCTGGTGGCGCTTCGACTTGATGTACTTGGCCTGCAGCTGCTGCTGCTGCTGAGTGAGACTGCTGCTGGCCGTGGTGGCACTCGTCATCACCGAGTTGCACAGGCTCGAGTTGAGGCTCCCGCCTCCACCACCTCCCCCGGAGGAGGAGATTCCCGCTCCGGATCCTTGGTGCTTGCCTCCCATTCTCGCTGGGGGATTTGGCTTTGTTTGCCGGCTTTCAATGCTCCGATGGCTTTTGTTGCCGCTGCTACTCGGGTTTTTATCGCTCTGCGCGACAGCGAATAATGTTGACAATCAATTTCTGTCTATCGCTCCGCACTATTTATATTGATTCTGTATTGATTCTGAACACTGATTTTCTATTTACTCAAGTGCTGCTGCTGCTGCTGCTGGGGATGATGATGATCATGATGCTGCTGCTCATTGTTTTGGCCATTTCCCATTCCAGTGGCTGGCGGCGTGTTTAATATTTGTTCGCTGATATGGCTCATTATAGCGTCCGACGATTCTATTTGCCGGCGCATATTTGTGGAAATTCGTGTCGTTTTCCCACACCTTGATTGACACTGATTTGCTGTGTCTGCAATGACAGAGAGGAAAATAAATGTGGGATTTAGTTGTGGCGAGAACGAATGCAATAAATATTTGGCTATAATTTATAGCTAGGAAATTTAGATGGTAATTTTCTCCTCAGTCGCAGATTATTCACATGCTCTTAATTTAAAACTAAAATAAATGGGATATCAGTGTGTCTTAAATTGACTTCCAGTTTACATTTTATTTTGACCAATGAAAAAGAATTAATATATTTAATATTCATAGCAATATCTACGTTATTACGCCAAAAATATATTGTTAAACATTCCAAAATTAAATGAAACTGGCACCAATAAGTAAGAATCAATATATTCAATATTTACAGCTATATGTATCTACTTTCTCAATCAAATATATCCCCACAATTATATTTTATTGTAATTATACTTTTTTAATTAACCATTCGATTATGTAATTAGGCAGACAATTATCAATCAGCAAAGCGCTTTAAAAATGCATGACACTTTTAAAACCCATTTAAACCATAAATAATTAATCGTCGAGCGCAAATCCGAGCCGTATTTTAATTAGTCGCCTACGGGGTTGTTGGCTTTTTTGCTACTCTGGCCCATGGCCAAATTGACGCGTTCAAATTGGCAACAATTTAAATAAGATTACAACTCCCAAAATGGCTGATGAGGGATAAAGGGGGGAGGCTTAAACTATAAATCAATCCGCTAGGGGAAATGGTGGAGAAATTGCAGCCCGTACGGTGTCTGTAAACCAATTTGGCACATGAGAGTTACTGTTCCTGCTGCTTCTGGGCGTTGGGTGTTGCACGTTGCACGTTGCTGTTGCTGCTGGGTGTTGCATGTAGCATGTAGCGTGTTGCTATTGCTTTTGCTGGCACTGTTGGCTGTCGCATAATTAAGGCAAACCTCGTTGCCAGGCAGACAAATGCGTCGGAAGGGCTGGGCGAAGGGATTGGGGGATGCAGCTGGGGAATGGGCGAGACAGAGGCAGATCCTCCAGGGAGAAGCCTCCTTTGTCTGGGCCCCTGTTTAATGCGTCGCGCCTGGTATTCTGCCACATCGGAAGCAGCATAATTATAGGCCAAAAAGACACTAAGCAAAAAATGTGATCTTAAGTTGAGCTGGTTTAAAATAATAATCATAACCATGCGATTATAATTAAGTTTATTCTTTACTAACCAATACTTTAATTATTATAAAACGTTTTTAAGTCTCACAGGTTGATAATTCTATTTACTATGATTTTTTCAGTGCATTTACTTCAGCTCACTAACTGTGAGGCAGGTAAACTATTTGCAGCTTTGCGTGTTGCAGTTGAATCTAACATGTGTAGAGCCGTTAACATTTATGCCGCCTTTCAGCAAATTTTGCGTTTTGTTCAACACAACCGCGAGTTGGCCAAAAGGGATAAGGGAAATGGAAAATGGGAAACGCAGTTCCTTGGCCTTCCTTCCTTCCCACTTCCGCCCGTTTTCCCCGCTTGCCATGCAAAAATAATAAAATGTTTGCAATTTGTTCGCGTCGACGTTGTTTGTAATTAAAAGTGTTGCAACAACACAGTTAACAAATGGGCGGGAATGTGCCCTTATCCGCGTTCTTTGCGCTGCGCAGTAATTGACCCGATTTAATTGATAATGGCTGTTGTGAACAGCGTAATGTCAGTGGCCCAGGTGACAGAGAAATGGCAGTAAAATCTGAATATCAGTTGAACATCTGCAGTAATCCATGGCGAAATAATAGCCTGGTAATAGTAAGTATATAACAAAAGTCACAGCTTTGAAATCCGATCTATAAGACAGGCTATAAATCAGTTGCAAATTTTATTTAATTATCTTTAAAAATCAATATTAAATCTATAGGTATGTGAATAAAGCTGAATTTGATCTTAAAAGCGCAAATCATTATAGATTAAACCGAATTTCCTTTTTAATTAAATATTATTTGCCAAATTTAGCAAATACTGTTACATTCTGTGCTGTCTCAATAGGAAATCCTATCCTTGAAACATAATATACCCGAAGTTTACCCACAATCTGCTACCTTATTCACACAAATTCCAGCAGCAATCCAAACAGTGTCAGCCATGATCCTGTAAGTCCTGTGCCGTTTCCCAGTGCCTCATGTTGATATTAATTTTATGTTAATTACAATCTTCACTAGGCTCCGCACCCAACGAGTCCTGTTTCATGTTTGTGGGCTGCAGAACAGTGGAGTTCCGGGAGCCATGTGGCTCCAGGATTCCCCCTTGGAGAAACGGAGGGTGGTTAATGTGCACCCAAGGCAGAGGCGAACCTTCCTGCCATTCCCTGGAGTTCCTTTCGCCCCTTCCTGTTTTGACATACTCAACATCAGATTAGCCAGCCGCAAAAGTCATAAATGCAGATGTTTACATTTCTTTTCCCGCTCCAGCTAAGAAAATATTCTTCAATGGCTTCCTTTGGGCCATTTTCTTTGTCTTGTGCCGGTGCAGCAGAAAGGGGGGAAAAAGTGGGTGGTTTTCGGGTGGCTGAGGTGGCGTTGTTTTCGGGAGCCCGTCGAGAAGATAGACCAAGAACTTTGCCCCTGTCCTTGGGGCAATTTGTCGCGTTCGCACGACTTTTACGCAGATGAAACAGCCACTTTATGGGTGCCGAGAGGTGTGTGAGTACACAGAAAACAAAAATTAAGTCATTCTAATCTTACTTCATAGGAATTTCCATAAAATAATATTACTGGATTAATGTTTAGAGTTCTGGAGATTTTAAAAATATTTTATTTTAATTTAATAATTTTATTTAATAATATATTTTTAAATTCTCTAATTTTTTTTTGGTTTTTTCCAGTGCATGCGTGTTTGTCTCTGGCATTTCCTTTGTGTGTTCCGGCGTAAAATTAAAATGTTTTGCTCTGGAAGCAGAAAAAGATAGCGTGGCTCCCTCTTCGCCTTTTTCCACCCCTCTCCGGTTGTTAATGCAAATTAAAAACTTCACTCAACTGCATTTATTTGGTTAGCACAGTTCCCTCTGTCTTTCATACTTTCCTTTCTACATTCACATACTCCGCGTGACTCACTCTTTGGGGTTTTCTTATTTTCCCACTCTAAAGGCGCAGACTCCGGTTCACTTGAGCATTCCGCCCCCAAAAACAGAGGGAAAAATACAACAAAATATGCTAAATGGCACTTGGCACCCCACAACATCCCCCACTCATTTTCCCGCTTTTCCCCTCACGTATTTTCCCACCCCCTTGAATACCAGGCTCACACATTGCCTTTGGCATGCTCAAGTGGGCCACTCCGGCTAATTTATATGGGCAAGCAGCTTTTTTCCATCCACTTCTGCTTCATTTGTCTCGTTTCCAACCCCTTCTGCATTTTCCACCCCCTCCCTCTGCCCATTTTTCTTTAATGGCCGAACGAACGGTCATTGCTGAAGAGCTGGACAAAGAAAAACATTCGCAATTTTCATCTTTGTGCAATTTTCCCTGATGCTTATATATTTATTTAAGCTACCATTGAGATGGCGTTTTTTGCTTTCTTGCCATTTTGCATAAATGAAAATGTTGCATTTTCCTCGCCGCATCATTTACTCTCGTCCTTTATTTTCTCCATTCAAAATCAAACACAATGGAGACTCGCTTTCTTTTTCTGCATCTTGGCAGTTGGTTTTGTTCCTAGAAGCGTGACAAACGTGGGCACACTGAGAATATAAATTCAGATTATTACAGACAAAGAATTCGAAGTAGGATAAGCTACACAAAGAAAATATATCATACAATTTATAAAGTTTAAGAGAACATTTTAAAGAGTTGTTTTTTTTTTTTAAATCATTAATTTTCTTAACTTGAAGTGAACTTTTTCCGACTACAGCATCTCTCTTAAGCAACCGAAAATTCTATTCACCCCTCTGCAGCATCGTGACTCACTTGTTATATGTATTTTCAGCCAGAGTTGCCAACAAACATGGACAAAGGAAGAAAGGAGAAGAATTTATTTTCTGCATTGGCTGGCAAAAGTTTTGGCTTTGAGGGAGGGGGGCGAACGAGGTTGCACGTGGCATGTTTTGAATTGGATTTACACATGTGCCGAGTTAATACGTGTCAGCCCCCCTTCACCCTCCGCCTGATGACATTTTTTTCAATTTCAACTTTCCAGCAGGCAATACGTGAGTAAGCTGAAAATGTGTTGCCGGCTTTTTGGGGCAGCCTGGCAGGCTAGGAAATCCCCGAAAATGTTTAAAACTAAAATAGCTACAATTAATTTTGATTTATTATACGGGGCAGTGGGACCCAAACACTAATATTATGTAAGCTGGCCAAAACATAACTCATAAGCTGTTATTCAAATCAATTTTTTTGTTGTATATTTGTAGCGATAGAACGCAACTAGGTCATAAATGCCCTGGGAAACCCGAAATTACTAAAAACAAAAAAAAAGCTAACAACAAACAAGTCACAAAAAGAAAGCCACAAGGGAGCGAGGCAAATTTATGACTGCAATTAAATCGCTACCAGTGGGCAAATAAAATTAAAATAAAACATAATAAACTATATAAATTAGAATGCGAATCGCATAAAATGGCGCCAAATAAAAGCGGAGCACATTGTCTGCATGTAAATTATCGCATCGAGTTTGTGCGTTTACTGCACCACCCAACCGCCAGTCTAAAAATTAAGCCACCCAAAACAAACCGGGCAACAGCAAATGAGCCACATGCCACCACTTGCAGACTAAGGGGCTAAGCCAAATATCGCGTTGAAATGTTACCAATTTTGGAGGGCGCTTAAATTGCGTTACATGTCGAGGGGTTGAAGGGGTTCCGGGGGTTTGAAGCGCCCCCATGGCTGTTCTGTCGCCTGCATTCCCGGAGAGCACTTGGCTCCCGGGTTCCGGGTTCTCGATTCCTGGTCGTAAAAATGCCGGCGAATTTATCGCATTCGAATGGATTTTCCGAAGGGTGGAACTCCGGAGGGGTGTTTGTGCCGGTTATTGTGCAATCGTCGTAGTCAGCGGTTTGTTGTTGTGCACATTTCA